CCACCTACTGGCAAAGCCCCAGAGGCAACAAGGACAGATGAACTGTGTGGTTTTCTCATTCACCTATAATCCCTACAGCTGTTACTAATTGCATTTGACTTTTAATAATTTCTTCCAAGGCAAGGAGCTGTGCAGATGTTCAGCTTATCCTGGGCAGAGCTGCTGCAGTGACTATGGACATATTAACACACTCGTGTGGATCTGGGTCTGGTAGTCAGCTTCCCTGGAGTGTGGTAATGCCCAAGGTTGCAGAAGCCAGGCTGCAAGCCTGATTGCTGCACTCATAACTAACCTCCCTCTTGCTCATGTGCTTCCAGCACAGGATGAGGGGGACAATCACAGCCTGGCTCTCCTCTGCTCCTCACCCATGTTTTAGCAATGCAGTACTTTTAGGACATCCACTGCTGCACTGGACCCACCAACTTGACTGACAGGGTCAGAAGTTGTGGGGGCAGAAGTACAGATACACACATGCACATGCAGATCATGACGGATGCTTCATTTCCTTATAAAAGCAAGAGAAAAGCAGAAGTCTTCCTGGCAATTCAGTAGAAATGAGAAATGCATTCATAGCATTACTGGCATGGTTTTCAAGTTGCTGTTAAAATTCCAGTTACATTATGCTACCTCCAACCTCAGACTCTTCTGTGTTTTCAAGCAATACATTAAACTGTCTTTTAGCAGCTGCCTGCCAAGGGGAAATGAAGGTTTTGACATCTGACCTGTAAGGAAGGATGTGTGGCATTTGGAGCTACCCAAATAAGGATTTTAGTTGGACGCTAAAACAAGCTGTGTTTTTAACAGTTAACTATTTTGACACTGTTTTTGTGTCAGGGGAGTTCAAAGTGGAGACTCTAGTCAGGTGAGTGAGGCAACTCCAGACCTTTAAGTTCAAGTTTGCTTGCAGCCACATTCTTTTCACAGCTCTCTTTCCCTTTGGAAAGGTTACTTTGCACTGGCATGGACTGAAAAAACACATTAGTTTTAATAAGTAAGTGAGATTCCAAAGCAGGACTCATTAGCTAGGAGTGGGTTCTGAGACATACCCCACTAAATTAGTACAAGTATCCCAACAACAAAGTAATACTACAAACACAATTGAACTGAATTGGCAAAGGGAAAAAAAATTCTTTCAACTGGTCAGCTTTGAACAGTGGATCAAGAAACATTTTTTTCAGAGTGGAACAAGTTTTTTCCTAGGATCTTGTCTCCATTAGGAGAAAATATGTTCTTCAACTATTCTCACTGCTTGGGCAAGACAATCTAGGGCATTTGCTGACATCATTGAGATTTGCCCTGCTCCACCTCTTAGCATAAGTTCCCACCTGGAAACAGCACTTGGCATCCTGCTGGGCACCCTGCTGCACCTTGAGCCAGTTCAGGTCATTGACCTGACACTTGTTTTTTAGGGCTAGCTTGCAGCAGGACTATCTCCTGAACCAGCCTGCTCTGACATAAGGTGAGAGGTGAACCAGCAGAAGGAAGGGCAAAGGACATGGAAGCTGAGAGTTGGACAACACCACACAAGGCCCTGATTCCAGTTCATCATGGCTAAAACAGAAGGCAGGATCTCCACCCTCTGGCTGAGATTGGAGGGTTTGAAAGACCCCAGTGCTACCTAAAATGCCTCTCAAATCACACTGTGTCTACAAGACCCATATGGCCACCTTAGGCCTGTTCTGAATAGAAGGCGGCTGCAGGGACTAAGATATTTTCTGCCAGGACACAGAGTGACACAATGAAAAGACAGTCCTCACTCTGCTCCCTGTGTCCTGGAGGACCTTGGGAAATTCATTTACTCCATCTGCAAAACACTGTGATAATCTTACTGAGGTGCTGAGAGAATAAATACAATCAAGACCAGCTCTGCACACACAGCAACAACTGTCCCCAGGTCAGGTGGTTCCAGTCAGAAGTACAGGAATTTGTTACCGTGACCTGAAACAAACTGCAATGGAACCAGGTCCAGAGGCACCAAAACTACCTAAAAGGCCCTGATCCCTGTAGATGCTGAGTCTCCACCTCACTCCCACCACTGATGGGCATTGATGCACTCGCCTCCCTGGGGAGGGTAACAGTTCTCAGACTGATTTCCACAGACTCCTGCTCTTTTGTTCCAACATCTCCAAAATACCCAAAGCCTCTTGTGCAATGAACAACATCCCTTGCTCCTTAGCTACATGGTGGTTTATGTTACTTTCCGCCTACAACCATTTCAGGATTGGCTTTACAGACCTTAGTGGAAGACTAAACAATGCTGGAGCCATAGCAGGAGAATTTGCAGAGTTTTATTCCTTGTTTCATTTCAGCAATCCTTCTGCCTCTCATCAGGGACAAAAAAACTTGCCAAACTCTTAATTTAGGAATAGCACGAGCTCTGCATTCCAGTCCTGAACCAGCCAAAGGAGCCTTTTCAAGCTGGAAAGGGGGAAAAGAGTAAATACCTTTAAGTACATTTAAAAAGGAAAAAAAAAGGCACCACAAAACCAACCACACCAAAAAACCCTCAACACCTGCTTTTTGCAGGCAAAAACTTGCTCTTGGGGCACTCTTGAAACTGGCTTAACATCAGCATTTGAAAGCAAATTCCAGTCCCTGCTCTTTTGGGTGCCAGAGTGCTTTCCCTGTCACTGCTTAAAAGCAAACTCAGCTCCCTCATATATGTTTAGCAAGCAAGTGCAGATGGGATCAAAGATGACAGTCTAAAGGGAAGAGCATCAAGTGAAGCTGGCAGATTCGGATTTTGTTTTTGTTGTAGTTTTGGTTGGGATTTTTTTTCCTAATGGCTACAATAACCTGTTAAAAGTTTTGTAATCTGAAGAGCGCAAACCCTTTTCTGGATGTCCAAGCTCCTCTGCCAAGACATGCTCAACTGTGAATATTCCAGCTGCATGTTTCACATCATGCTGGCTAAGGATGTGCCAGTATTTTTATTATTCACCCCCTATGGATATTGCAGAGCACCACATACATTATAAGGTTCTTACAGTGTGCTATTTATGTGTGTGTGTATTATCCACAGAGATACAATCAAATAAATCACACCCATTGTAAAGGAATAAAGATATTCCAGTCAGGCAAAATGCTGACTGAAGTTAACATAATTCTGAATTAAAGTCTGTAAAAGAAAAAAAAGAAGCACTAACTCAGAAAATTACCTCTCAGCCCATCACTGCAATGCCCTCCACCCACCCCAGCTTTTTGTAAAAGCATAAGCCTGGAAGTCAGTGCCAAATTCCTTAAATCTAAATGCCCTTGCCTTCTTCTGGAGAGTCTAAAATTCATTCCCTTGACACTTATAATCTGTCAAGGAAGATTTCGCATTAACATTGTTCTCCAGAGTCCTGGCTCTCCACAGCTGGGCAAGGGAGCAAGGACAGGAGAGGGGACAGGAGTGGGGACAGCAGCCGTCCCAGCCTGGCTGTGCAAAGCAGCAGCTTGAAACGTGCAAAGTTCTCCGTGCTGCTCTTTTTCCTTTACTCCGCTCTCTCCATCTCTCCTCCTGGAGCGGAGCAGCATGCACAGGTACCCTGAGGAGCATGCACAGGTACCTGGCTGCATTCCCATCCCCACAGAAGGGAAGCCAAGAGGTACAGCCCGGTCCAGAGCACTTTTAAATCAAGCCTCAAGAGGGAAGGGACGGAGTTCAAAGTCGTGCTGCTGAACTAGTTATGCAAACAGGGTCAAGAACCAAAGTTACAGCCAGGGGAGCAAAACCAGCAAGGAGGCAGAAGTCAAGGAGGGGTGATTACAAAGGAGAAAGTGCTAGTGTTAATTTCCAGAGCTGAATTGTCAATTCTCAACATCCCACGGAAAAGGAAAGAGCTTGCAGTCGATTGCACGGGAAAGGAGGCATTAATAAAACCCAGCGCTGCTGCACCGGCAACCCGAAGAGCGCTCCCTCCCACGGCAATCACAGCAACAGGTCAGGAGCCTGTTGCTGTCCCTGTCCCCGGGGCTGTGCCCCCGGGAGGCATTCCTCTTGTCCCTGCACCCAGGTCCCGGAGCAGCGGGGCCTGAGGGAGCAGGACCCCCACGGGAGCTGGCAGAGGTCACCTCATCTCCAAGGTGGACTCTGCTGGAAGGGTGGCCATAGGGAACAGGTTCCTCACATAGCAGGGCCCCCGCGGTCCCTCAGCTTCCCCCTTCCCACCAGGCAGCACATGGTCCTCCCACACCACCTCTCTCCTTATCTTTGGGGCATCCATCACCCTTCAGGGTGGTTTTACTCCTCCACCAAACACAAATCTGAACGTTCACTTCTCTCTGCTCCCCAAAGGACACCCCCCCCCCTCCATCCCTCAGCTGCATCTCCCCAAAGTTCAGCCTTATATCTGCTCCCATGGTGGGTTTTTTCCCCTAAAAGACCCCAACCTCCAGCCTGCCCCCTGGAGCAGTCCCGGCATTCCCCCCCGCACCCCACCTCGTTACATTCCACCCCTGGGGTTCTCGCCCCATACCAAGGAAATCTCTCTAACCCCCGAAGTAACTGCAACCCCAAACACCCCATTATGCCCCCCTCAGGGATGCTCTCATGCTTTGTCCCCCCTCCAACGCCCCTTTCATTCCCTCCTTCTTTGTGCTTCCCTGGACTTACTCTCGCTCCTCTCCCGCAGGGATCCCTCATGTCTGCCCTCCCGCGGGGTCGCTCTGCCCCGGGACGATCCCCCTGATTGCCCTTTAGGATTCCTTTGTCCCCTGGACGTTCCTCCACCCCCTGGACTCCTCCACCTGTGCTGCCCAGGCGCTGCCCCGGCACACGTTCCCGAGTGCGCGGTGTCCAGCGCCCACCTGTCCCCAGCTCCCGGTACCCGGTGAGCGATGCACGGTGCACTGTCCCCAGTGCCCGAAGCCCGGACGGCGGTGCCCAGTCCCAGGTCCCCGGGGCGCAGTGCCCGCTCCCTGGCGCGCCGCGCAGAGCGCTCGGTGCCCCGTCCCCGGTGCGTGGCTCTCGGCGCGCCGTGCCGGACCCGCGGAGGCCGGGGCCGGGCGCTGCTCACCTGCGGGGCGCTCGGCGCTGGCGCCGTACTCGGCCGTGTCGCGGCGGCGGGCGCAGGTGCCCTGTCCCTGCACCAGGGCTTGCAGGGGCAGCTCGGCGCCGGGGTCGGGGTAGCAGCGCAAGCCGGCGGCGCAGCGCGGCGTGTAGACACCGCACGCCTCGGCCTCCAGGCGGGCGCACACCGGGCAGCAGCCGCAACCCGGCTCCCGCACCAGCTCGGGGCAGGGCGGGCGGGCGGCCGGGGGGCAGGCGGCCAGGCGCTCCGCCGTGCAGGGCGGGCAGCGGAACAGCACCTCGGGCAGCGCCGGCCCCGCCAGCGCCAGCGCCGCCGCCGCCGCCGCCAGCAGCAGCCGCGGCCAGGCGGCCCGCGCCGCGCCGCGCCCGACCCCGCCGAGCGCCATGGCGGGACTGACGGGCGGCGGGGCCGGCAGGTGGACGCGCCGCTCGGCCCCCCGGCGGGGCGGCGCGGGGCGGAGAGGAGAGGAGAGGAGCGGAGCGGAACCAGGCGGCGTGGCACGGCCCGGCGGGGCACGGCACGGCCCGGCGAGGCACAGCACGGTACAGCACAGGACGATACAGCACAGCACGGCTCGGCTCGGCTCGGCGCGGTGTCGGGCTGAGAGGAGCTGAGCGGAGCTGAGCGGGGCCGGGCGCGCCGCGCCGCCGCTGGGTCCTAGAGCCGCCCCCGCGCCCGCCCCCGTTCCCCTGCGGGGGTCGGGGCTGTCCCTCCCGGTGGGGAGCGGCGATCCGACCCAGAGTGGGCTGGGGCCAGCCGCACACGGGATTGGGGATGACCCAGAGAGCAACTGGGGAGCCTGACCGACACGGGGCGAGGGCCTACTGTAGTGGGAGACACATCCCTCTGGGGATGGGGGTCTGCCCGCTGAATACGGCGGGGCTAAACACGAAGGGAACCAAGACCCGCCTCACAGAGACACCTGGAACAGGGAGGGATGGAGATCCCACACCACCAGCGGGCTAGGGTCGTGCCTCACAGCAACACCCAGTGCTCGGAGAGGGGGAACTGGGTGAGCTCCACACCCCCAAAAGCGAGGGGAGCTGGGGGGTTAAGCAAGGGCCCACTCTCACCCTGCTGCCACAGGAGTGCCAGGCCTGGCACAAGCAGCCTCATTTCAGTCCAGGTGCCACCGTGGGCATGGGGGCCAACACCTGGACTCAGGGACAGTCCCAACACACAGTTGCTCACCAAATGTTGGTCCAGGGAGCCACCATGCCTCCATGGGAACAGGACCCTGCGCTCCATGCCCATAGGGATGCCCCATGTCTTCAGCCGGACTGCCCACAGGGTATTTTGCCTCCTGATCAAATTGCAGCTGACTCAGCACCTCCCATGTGGCACTGCCTCACGAGGGTAACCAAAAGTGGGATACAACCAGAGGCACAAAAACAGAGGTCTATGAGCTTTGAGGGTTTTGGCATGAAATGCCCATTTTAAACCCTATCACACTCCTTTTCCTGCTGCCCAGCTGCCACAGGCTACACAGAGGATTTTAACTACAAGGGGTATTACACAGAGGTGACATTTTTTTCTGTAATAAAAAAATAGTAGCAACAAAGTCAAGGGAATGCAACTGAGCTAATGAAGCTGGAAAACTCAGTTAATATCTTTGTGGGGTGTATGGTTAAAGTCAGGCACTGAGGCAGCCTGAGTTCCCTCAGCCACGGGAAAAATGACAGCTTTGGAGCATTTAAAATTTGCTGGTGTAATTTTTTGTTGTTCTGGTCTTATTTTTTTTCAAATTAAGAAAAAAGCAGAATGCTGCTGTTGACAACTCGCACAACACAACTTTTGGCACAGGATTACTCGCAGCTCTGGAGTTATACAACAACATGTTTGTTTGTGAGATTGATGACTGCAGGGTTGGTTGATGGACTGCAGCGTTCAGTGTGCTCTGTGAAATCTGTGATACATCCTGGAACTGAGTATGCAGTCCCGTCCCAGTCCCTAGGTCTTCCCAAACAATAACTCAGGTTTTACAAGAGTTTAATCAAGCATGGTCAATTTCTCTGTCTGCCCATCATGCTGCAGATACCTTGCCATAGAGGAGCTACCCACTTGCTTTAGTTTTTAAAGCACACCATTGCTTGTTTGCACCTTGCTTAAGCTGGGCACTGATGTTAACCAGCTCCATTTCCCTTTGGAAAGTATCCAGTTGGTTTTGGGGGCCCTGTGGCAGCAGCACTTACTGCTCTGAGTGCAGGGGACTCTGAAATTCCAAGCCAACCAACACGTTCCCCTGAAATTACAAGCAAATGATGGAGAGCTTTTCTATTCTACTTCATGTTACAAAACATCTTTTTATATTACAGAACCCAAATTTTAGCCTGGGTGACTTGAGAAAGTCTCTTCCAGAAGACAAAAAGAAAAAGAAATGCAGTGAAAAAGCCCAGCACAAGATTTGCAATTGTTACTCCCACAAATCTCGAAGTGGGAAAATGGGATGCACAGCCCTGCATACCAGCAGCCCTTCAAAAGCCTCCCTTTTAAACAGATTTCCCAGCAGATGTTCAATAGAAAATGGAGCAAATTATTTTCACTGCACACTTACAACTTCTTGGGGATAGCGGGAAGGAGGCTCTCGGTACCTTTTTTATGATCTGCTGTTGACTTCACTAATGACTCACATTTGGTTCCAATGAGATATTTTCATATGACTAATGAATCTATATTTGGAGGCGTAAGAGGGTTTGGCTAATTATCTGTTGCAGTCAGTTAAATATTCCAAGTATTCAAAGTAGGTTTTCTTCCAGTGGTAAATGTTATGCCCTCGCAGTCTGTCTTCTGGTGCTTTAAAAGAGCCCAGAACTTTGACTCGCACCAAGCTGACATCTGGGTTTCTGCATGTGTAAGCACAAGAGATGGCCTGAACTTAATTATACGGCAAACCAATCCTGTGTTTTTTAGGTGGCCAATAGGTCATTGCCCAAGGGACAATTTAAACCCGATTTTTCAACACGCACTTGATGCTTGCAGCGGCCCATTTTGCTGGGGGCATTTACTGGGGTGCCATTAATAACTCCTGGCAGGGGCAAATTCTTTCTAAGCGCCGTTGTGTAGGCTGCTTGTGCACAAATCATTTTTCCACAGGGAGGGCTCGAAATCTGATGAGAGAAGGGAAGGTGGAGAGGAGGGGGAGGGAAGGGGCTCGGCTGGCTCAGCTGCCTGAATTGCAGAAGGACATTAAACATAATGATCCTGTAGGGAAAGAAACCGTACTTAGCTCAGATGTGGGAACGAGCCAGGATTTCCTGTTCATATGCCTCTTTAGTAGGTGCTCGGGCTGTTCTCCTTTTATCACCGTCATTTTCTTTGTCTGCCACTAAAGCAATAACACCGGTGCAGATACAATGGATCAGATGTTCCCCCTGCCCCTGCTGCTGCAGCCCTGGGCTGGGAGACCTCTCCGTGCTGCTCTCCAACTCCAGCAGAACAATAAAGAAGATTTTACAGCTGTTATGGGGATGGGGGAGGCGGGGAGGCAGAGGGAAACAGCTTGAGTGCCCGTGGCCAGCTATAATTTCTCCAGTGGGTCTTTGCTGACAGTTTTAGGATTAACAAGTGAGCTCTGTTCCCAAGCATTTACCCCTCTGGATAAGCTGGCCTGTTTGTTCTCAAGGGTTTATTTTACCCTACAAAATATGGCATTGCCGAACAGATGTAGGCTTGTTCCTAGAAAGGCAAGTTATAGCTGAAGCTGCATCTCACACAGGCTTTAGCCCTTGGAATTGTTTGGAAATGCTACAGTATTCCTCTGACCCTTTTCAGGGCAGTTTTTTCCCACAGACGTGCTGGTTGATTCTTTTATGGCTCTGTCCTTTGTCAGGGATGAATTAGGAAAAATAAACTCACAAACAAAAAGTGGAGGCCCAGCACGGAGATCCTCTTGCTACCAATGATTAAGAAGTATTTTACAGCTCTGAGTGCGTGGGGGGAGAAAACAAAGTGCCCTTCTGCCTTTTTCTTTCCCTCATTTTTTTCTTCATGGGTAATGGGGCATGGGGGAGGGGGGAAAGAAAAAAAAAAGTCAAGAAGATTAAAACAGTGTTTTAATTATTTTTAAAGTCCTCTATTTCAGTAGACTGACACAAAGTGCTTTATGGTAGGTGCTGGAGAAAGTCTCCTGAGTCCCAGAGCTGGCATGGTGAGAGGCAGGTGACGACAAAGGGGAGGCTGTGAGGAGAAAGGTTGGGATTGATGTATTTGCACCTCCACTTTCTGTTTGTGAGTTTATTTTTCCTAGTTCATCCTTGACAAAGGACAGAGCCATAAAAGAATGTTGTCTTCTCCCAGGAGATTCAGTGAAGCTCGTCCATGAGTAAAAAGGTACTGGAAGGTAGGAATTGCCTTTGTCTCACAGTGAACCACATCAGAGTGGAACAACATCCCCATTCCTTCATCCCCATTCCTCCCAGGGGGTGCCAGGGGAACATGACCAAGGCCCGAGTCGTAGCAGGGGCAGAAGGAGCTCTGCCCTGCCCTCTGCCCCTGCAGGGGGGACCTTCACTCCCCCTCAAAAGGAGCACTAATCCAGGCTGCTGGATCCAGTCATGGAATTGGCTCTCTGTCCCTCTCTCCACACTCCCCAGGACTGTAGGTCCCAATGCTCCAGCCTCATGCTGCCTTGTTCTGCCCTCAGCCACCCCAGTTCAGTAGCTTTGCTCATTGAATTGGGGTGGTGCCAGTGAGCTCAGCAGGGCCCTGCAGGGAGGAGGGAGGCAGTGGCAAGACCCTCTTGTTCCATCCTGCCCACAGTTGCTGCCCAAGGCAATCACACAGTAAACAGCAAGCTTTCAAGGAAATAAAGGAATGACCCAGAAATGAGTTCCCAGCATCACATCTTCTCCCCCAAAACTCATCAGCATGTTTCACACTTCCATCAGCACTTGTTCTCTGGAGCCTGCTTGGCTCCTGTGCAAGGGTTTCAGGTGCCCCACAAGCTCCTGCAGCTCTGATGCACACCCATAGCTCTGCTGCTCCACAGGTCACACTCAGAGGTAGGTCTGGGCCTGCCTGATGCCCCAGGCACCCCTCTCCATCCTTATACTGTTTTCCCCAGGTGCATCAGCACAGCCAGGGTTCAGATGTCAGCAGAAGGGTCAATTATAGGCCACTTTATTTACATTCACCCTATCTGAAATGTTTTTAGAGCAGCCCTAAATGCATTATCTTTGAGCCTGATCCAGTAATTATGAATGCTTAGGAATGGTCCAGGCTAGTTTGTTTAGGTTTCTCCAGTGCTGATTAGAGATTAGCAGAGCTGAAACCACCCATTAGCTGGAAGGCATAAAGCAATGGTGATTCTCATGCTAAGGGGCCAGGTGCTCAGTACTTACCCATGTCCCAGGCACCACTGCTCTCCTGCAGGGGTGCAGGGCAGAG